TATACAAGGTTTGCTTAATCCTTCCATTTTTAAGTTTTGGCTGTATTGGAGATACGTATGTGGCAGTTCTATCTTTATCCATTCACTGTTTTCCCCTCTCAATAGAAACAAAAATTTCTGCAATGTGGAGAGTGAATATAATTACGGTTGAAGCCGGAAGGCTTTCCATCTAGCACACATGATTTCCCTTTTTTTTTTCTCCCTGTAAATCAAGATGTCCTTTATCAAAGTTCCCGATGCACTAGACCGTATTTACTTGTTTCACGCCTTGAGTGATATTTGGCCGAGCTCTTTTATCTCACTGTTGTGGCGAGCTCCTCTTTTCCAATTCACAATTTCTCTGAGCTGTATGGTTCCTCCGAGAGAGAAATCAAGCTTTAAGAAATAATGTGATTCTAATCTTCTGAGATAAACCATTAATCAGTGCATTTTTTTATGGACATAAAGTAGAGCTTCATCCTATGTAGACACGGGTAGTGAGTCCAATTATACTTATGTCGTCTCTGTCAACATTTGTTGAATCTCTTGTATAAATTACAGGTTGGTGTTACCCATTACTTCTCTTTCCTTAAAGCAAAGGAGGAGCTTGGCTATGTCCCAATGGTGAATCCTCGAGAGGGAATGGCTGCTACGATCTCATACTGGCAGGAGAGGAAAAGGAAAACTCTGGATGGGCCTACAATATATGCATGGCTATTTTGTGTGCTTGGAATGGCCACACTATTCTGTGCTGCTTATCTGCCAGACATTGGACCCGTGCCACTCTTCAGAGCTATTAGCCTCTTCTTTCTCCGGTCAATGAGAGTAGTTAGGACGACGTTTCTCCTAGCTGCAGCAGCACATGTTGGAGAGGCTGTATACGCATGGAAGCTGGCAAAAAGGGTGGACCCTGCTAACTCAAGAGGATGGTTTTGGCAGACCTTGGCTCTTGGGTTTTTTTCATTACGTTTTCTGTTGAAGAGAGCACGGAAGGCAAGAGCTCCTCGTCACTAATGGCATGCCTGTAGTGTTCGTAGAATTTAATAAGATAGTGGTTTTATGTATGTTCTGTATGAGAGAACATGGTTTTATGTACGTACAATGCAATACATGTGTCTGTTACAAAAGGGTTGAAGCGATGTGATTCTCAGAGTTTCAAAGTTTCCCGATATGGAAATTCGTATGTTTGATTATAGTTTGGTTCGTTACTTTCCCAAGAGATTTGGCACTCCCACTTGAATTCTAACACTCTAATTGAGTATTTTATTTTAAGATTTTTATACAATTTGGAGTGCCAAAAGGTAAGGGCATCGTCTCTCAAGTGGTTAAAGAGCAATTACCCATGGACTCCAGGTTCTAGATCGGTTCTCCCTTCTCCCAATATAGTTTGTATTCAAAATCAAAAACAAAAAGGTGCCAAAAGATAAAGCGAGTGCTGCAGAGGAAACATCATTTTTGTTTCTTATGGTTATGGAGAAAGATAAGCAAATTTATTTCGGTGCATAACTCAGTTGCGATAATTGCTGATTTAAGTTCTGATTTGGTTTGCATTTAGAGTATCGCAGATAAATGCTAAGGGCAGACGCGGGCAACTTTTAACCGTAGATGCTTGTTGATCTCACTGCACGAAAGACTACATACTACGAAAACCAGAAACCCAGAAACAATGGCGAAGACTTTCTCTGAACTCCGCGCCATAGGTGATAAACATATCCATATTTGCAACAGTAACAAATGGAGTTACATGGGCATGAACCAAGCAAGACAGGAAAAGAAGAAAAATGAAGGCAACACCATGACCCAAAAAGAAGAGATGGTTCCACAAACAGAATGGTTAGAATCAAATTGGCACCATTTACCATCTTATCATTCGAGAATAAGGTGAAGCTGAGCATATCTGAAGGAAGGGTCT